TCGCTCAGTTCGGCACGATATCGTGCGCGGCAGTTGTGGGCCTGGTCGAGGGTCTCCTGGCAGAGGGGGAGGGCGTGGGGAGAGCGAACCTCAAGAACCTGCAGGAGCTCAAGGGCCACATGGACCAGATGAGCATAGACGCAGCCGGAAAAACCTTCGCCCTGGTCAAGGTGTCCAACGCGCACAAGGAAACGGATGCCAAAATTCAGATGTGTGTGAGCAAGGAGACCCATATCATCAGCAGCTGCTTGGAGCAGCTCGGCGCCCAGCGGAAAGATGGAGTGGCGCCTATGCACCACCTCGAACGGATCATCCACACAGGCCTGTGCAATTGGGAGGAGTGCTGATTCCAGAGCGTCCCAGCACCCGGAACCGGAGGGCGAGTGAGCGGGGCGGGTCCAGGGGCCGGCCTGCCAACATGCCTCCCCCCTCCGACGATCCTCACTCTGCTTCCCGTGATGCGGCTGCTTCAATGCGAGCCGCCGGGTGGGACAGCACCACGATCAGAAGCATGCTTGGACTGCTTCAGGGTAGGAGGTAATACCATCTCCGGGGTTTGGGGGCCCCGCGCAGTGATTGATGGTTCCCGGCGTATCCGTTTCAATTTCTGTTTGCGCAGAGGGGGCTACTCCACGTTTGTAGCTTGACAGGTTTGCTTGAGGGTCGGATGCAACTATTGACAAGTTGTGGATCCTCATAGGGCGTGCGCGTGCACGAAATCTTCGGTTTTAAGCCGGTCCTAGAGCGTCTAGTCTGCCCAGACATCGAACTGTGCTCCAGAGGCGTGCGTCGTCGTCGTCCTCTTCGTCCTCCTCCTCCTTTCCCCCATCCACCTTATGATGGTGGTGGTGGAAAATAGACCCATAACTTAAGTTGGGGCTGTTCCTTTATAGGAGGGATCTTCAAGAACAGTCAAAAAATAGTCCGCGGACAGGTGGGTCCCCCCTCTCGTCCTCTGCCTCCTCGTCCTCCCGACTCTTTTGTTGGAGCGCTGCCACCGTGTGCCCCTGGCACACCGCGGGGCAGGTGGGTGCTCCATGACGGGTAGTTGTCTGGAACCTTGTCCAGGTCTACGGGTGCTCCGAACGCTGGCCCTCGGCTCTGGCCGCTGTGCCACTGGGGTGGTGGCGCGGCATTCATCGTCGGATCGTGGCCCTTGGTCTCCGAAGCCTCTCGAGACCCCCACTGCCCCCCCCCCAAAAAAAAAGCCTGAACAGTCAAACAATAGTCTGGGGACGATTTTTGGACTACTTTTGACTACGTTGGGGCATTGTTTGGCTACTTTTAATTTTTCGCCCAGAATGCGCCTGCAGGAGGACATGCCCGACCTAAGCCTGGGCGGCGCCAGTGCCCGCGGGGTGGCGCCGCGGGCAGCGGGGCGGCGGCCTGGTGGCCGTGGCGGCGGGCGCCGTGGTCGCGCGGCGCGCCGCCTTAGGATCACCGAGCGCGGTCCAGTGCTCGCAGAGCGCTTCATCTTAAGTCGGGCGTGTCCCTTGACAGGAGGAATATTCTAGAATAGTCGAAAAATAGTCAGGAGACGTCTTTTTTGTGATTATTTTTGAGCATTTTTTGAACATTGCAGTGGCCGCCGGTCAGTGCCGCTGATCCGGGGTGCTACCGATTCTGCTTGCAACGGATGACCTTTAATGTTTAAACGTAGAGCACTCCCTCGAGACATCCTCATACGATGGAGATGTTGAAGTCGCTTGGGCAACCTTCGGATATTCGAACGTGACGATCTCGCGTGAACAGCCAAACTCATGGGATGTCCCCTCCCACCTTCCGGGCCTGAATGGCGTCAGCCATGGCGTCAGCCCCCGCCCCCCCCGACTCCCCCGTCCCGGGCGTGAATGGCGTCAGCCATGGCGTCGGCCCTCCCCCCCCCTCTCCTCTCCCGAGCCTGATTGGCGTCAGCCATGGCGTCAGCCCCCCCCCCCCGACAGAGTGAAGCTTGAGCGAGCTCCCCCGTCCCTCCCCCCTCCCGGGCCTGAATGCCGTCAGCCATGGCGTCAGTCCTCCCCTCCCCTCCCCGACTCTTCCCTCGCGGGCCTGAATGATGGCGTCAGCCATGGCATCACCCCCCCTTCCCCCTCCCCCCTCCTGGGCCTGAATGGCGTCAGCTATGGCGTCAGCCGCCTCCCCCCCAGACAGCGAAGCTTGAGCGAGCTCCCCCCCACTTCCCCCTCCTGGCCGGGTTTGAATGGCGTCAGCCATGGCGTCAGCCATGGCCCCCCCCCTTCCGACTCCCTCCTCCTGGGCCCGAATCTCCCCCCCTCCCCCCTCCTGGGCCCCCTCCTGGGCTGGAATGGCGTCAGCTATGGCGTCAGCCCCTTCCCCCCCGATAGAGCGAAGCTTGAGCGATCTCCCTCCCCCCTTCCCGCCTCCAGGGCCTGAATGGCGTCAGCCATGGCGTCAGCCCCCCCCCTCCCCGACATCCTCCCTCCCAGGCCTGAATGGCGTTAGCCCCCTCCCCCCCTCCTCCCTCCCGGGCCTGAATGGCGTCAGCCCCCCCCCCCCGACAGAGCGAAACCCCACCCCCCCTTCTTTCCTCCCGGGCTTGAATGGCGTCAGCCCCCCCCTTCTCCCTCCTGGGTCTGAATGGCGTCAGTCCCCCCCCTCCCCTCCGACAGAGCGAAGCTCCCTCCCCCTCCTCCCTCCCGGGCCTGAGTGGCGTCAGCTCCCCCCGCCCGAAGGTCCCAGTGCCACCGTCCGCCTGCGCCCCGGAAGCCCAATGTGGTATTTTAACCTACCTAGTACAGCGTTTCGCGCCCCCTTTGGGAGCTCCACCGAGGGCCCCAGTGGGACCATCCGCAAGCATGCGTCCTGGAACACCCAATGTGGCATTTTCACCCACCGAGTACATTGTTTCGTGGCCCCACAGGGAACTCCACCGAAGGCCCCAGTGCCACCTTCTGCACGCGTCCCCGTGGCATTTTCACCCACCCAGTATAGCGTTTCGTGGCCCCATAGGGAGCTCCACCGAAACCCCCAGGGGGACCGTCCGCATGCGTCCCGGAACACTGCACCCAATCTGGCATTTTCACCAAACCAAAACAGCGTTTCGTGGCCCCGTAGGGAGCCCCACCGAAGGCCCCAGTGCCACCGTCCGCATGCCACCCAGGACAGCGTTCTCCCCCACCCAGTGCAGCGCTTCGTGGCTCCATAAGGAGCTTCATCGAAGAAGATATTCTCAAATGCGGTACCCACAACTGCATATGGTTGGGTCCTTCGCCATGATAATTGGTATTTGTCGTCCAACATCTCCCTGTACGGGGACACGCCCGACCTAAACCAATTCGCAAACGTCAGCAAAAAGACACGTGTCTGCATCGATGTAGTGTATCGTAAACCCTCCATGGCGGATCCAGACCATTTGCGAGCAGTTACTCTGCGAGTAGTGGATCGCGCTTGTCTATCGGCGTCGCCTTAACAATCTTATGCTATGTGTGCGTTAACCCCCCCCACGGGCGACGCGCGCACCGAGAAATCCTATAGTATAGGCGTCGTGGCGGGCGCTTTCTGGCCACACCGCTCGGGAAACGATATTTCACAATATGGGTATAGTACATGTTCGGGTCGGACGCGCGCCTCCAAGGAGGACCTATCGTTTCAGTCTGTCCCTGTGCGTCCCGTGCCTGCCGGAGCATGCGCACGGCCTCGGAGGCTGGAGAGGACCTCTTCGACGACGCCGGCCTCGCGGGTGGCGATCTCCTCGCCGCGCTCCCGTCGCGGGCGGGCTGCCGAAGAGGGCCGGCCCGCTCCCCCGTCGAGCCACCAGCCGTGGCCGCGGGGCGGCCCTGCCGCTCGACGGGCCTCGGCGCGCTGGGGGAGGCGCAGTGCCGCCTCGCGCGGGTGGCGCCGCGAGTCTCGGCGGCCGACCCCCCCGCGCGGTTCGCGCGGGCTCGCCTCTTCTTCCTCGACCGACGCCTGCAGGGACTGGAGGGCACGGTCGGCGGGGCGAAGGGAGTGTCCCGCTCTTCTGTCAGCTGACGTCGGCCATGGACGGCGACGGCCGTGCAGTGGAGGGCAGCAGCGAACGTATATCGCCACTCGGCGGCGTCCACGGCGCCTTGTGGCTGGGCGTGCAGGCGTGCGCCGGCAGTGGCGAGCTCAGCGGCGTGGCGGGTGAAGGCTTCAGCAATTTGCGTGACGCGTCCCTCGTTGGTGCCTTGTTCGCCCAGGTGGTTTTCTACCTTTTGGACATGTCCTGTTTGGCTTGTCGGATCTGGTGGATCTTGCGCCAGAGGTCGGCCTGAACACCCGCTCGCGGCGGTATTTTACCCGAGAGAAGGTCTTCGAATGCGTCGACCGCGGCTTGGTTGTCAACGGAAATGTGAGCTTGCCGATTCAGCCGTGGCGACGAGATGGAACATGGCTAGCGTCTCGGCTATCTGCGCGAACTGGGCCAGCCTCTGCGCCCTCGCAGAGAAGTTGAGTTCTTGGTCGTGGCCACTGTATATTCCGAAGTTGGCCCTGGCGAAAGGCGCGTGTGTTTGGTGGGGCCAGGCTCCACTGGTGGCAGCGCATGCCCATCGGGCTCCGTGCTGTTCGCGTATTCCTCGTATGGGCCACCGTCGGGGCCTTCTGGTGCCAGGCGCGGGATGGGCTGCGGGAGCTCGTTTTCGACCAAGGCGACCTGGAGATCAAGGATTTGGAGAGCGGAGATGGATCTTCCCTCCTCCGTCCTACCGTCACCGCCTCCCTCCTCTTCCATCCCTCCTCCTCATCTTCCTGTCGCTGTCGTTGCCGGCTTCGGATCGAAAGCAGCCATCCCTCCTCCTCCTCCTCCTCCTCCTCCTCCTCCTCTCCTTCCTCCTCTCCTCCTCCTCCTCCTCCTCCTCCTCCTCCTCCCCCTCCTCCCCCCCTCCTCCTCTTCCTCCTCCCCTCCTTTTCCTCCTCCTCCTCCTCCTCCTCCTCCTCCTCCTCCTCCTCCTCCCCCTGGGGGGATATTTAGAAAGAGAGAGAGAGAGAGAAAAACATCGAAGAGCAGACGGGGGTAGGGTGAGAGGACAGCGGGGGTGGTACGGCGACTGCCAGATAGGGCCGGCCAACGCGCAGCGAGCCCTTCGAGCGGGGGGCGGTTTCACCCGTGGACGCGTGGCGCGAGAAGGTGGAGCCCATGCCAGGGCCCCGGTTGGCATCACGAGGGCGAGCGCGTGCGCTGAAACATGGTCGCCGCCACCGCTGTCGTCGTCAACCCGAGGCCGAGCTCCGGCGGCAAGCGATGGTGGGGAAGTGAGAAGGAGAAGACCTTTTCAGAAGGGGCCTGGGCTTCTCAGAAGGCTCCTGGCTTTCTGAAAGGCTTTTGGTGCCTTCGGGGAAGGCTGGGACAACTTCTCAGAAGGCTGGTAGACTTCCGAGCCCTCTGAGAAGGCCCGCCCCTTTGCCACTGTCCCCCGGGCTCGCCGACGAGAGCTTCAGCTGCCCGTAAGCGACCTATCGGTGCGGGCCCACAAGGGGGTCCCTGCAGCACCGGCCTGTTCGCTCGGATTTGGCCCCCTATCCTTAAGTCGGGCCTGTCCTGTCCCTCTACAGGAGGGATGTTCAAAAATAGTAAAAACATGCTCTGGGGAATACTTTTTAATTTTTTTTTGATCATTTCGGAGTATTTTTATGGTATTTTTAATTTTTCGTCGACAATCCCCCTGTAGGGGGACACGCCCGACTCAACCCCATCCTCGCCCGCGGCCCCCGGACGCGCACCACAGAGGACACTTCTGCCCAGGGCCCCTCTCTTCGAAGGAGGGCACACGGAGACAGCGGCGGCTCCCGCACAGTGAGGATGGGTAACCTCTCCAAGGTTTACTATTGCTAGGGGAACAAACAGTGACATAAACATAACAACTCGGAGGTCCGCGCGGATTTCTCGGATCGGCGCTGGACCCCCCTCCCTGGCGCGCGGAGCGCGCCAGGGGCGGCGCCGGAGGCGCCGCCGGGGGGCCCCAGCGCCGAAATCCGCGCGGACCTCGGAGTTTTTATGTTTTTGTCACTTTTTGTTGCCCTACTTGCATCCCTGCCTCCTCTGTCCATCCTTGGCCACTTTCGCTGGCCGCGCCCCGCTCGAAAAGCGTCGAAGCGGGCGTCCTAGGCCCTTGCATCCTCATCGCGCATCCTTGCTATATGGGTTGACTGTATCCCGCCCGACCCAGATCCGTTCCGAATCGGTTTTGGGTCCATCTCGATTCGTCTTCCCGATGCGGGTCCAGCCGTGGCAGCGAGGAGCCTCCAGGAGGCCGTAATCGGACGGAGCATGTCAGGGAGGCGCCGCCGTCTGTGTGCGCTTGCGGGTCAGAGATGCGTCCTCTAGATTGGATGCAGCAGTGACGGGGGGTGGGACGAGTCGCCAACGCAAGACAATCTTTACCGCAACCGTGGGGAACAAATCACCAGAATTATAGGATGTTGACCGTAACTGCGAGGGACAGCTCACCAAGGCAACATGATCTTGCTCTCCCATCTTGTTCTCAGCTGTTGCCTCCCCCGCCTGCCCATCCGTGCTTCTGACCCCAAGGGTGCACCCAAGCCGCGGCGGCGGGCTGTGACGCTTTTGGCATCTTTTGGTGTTCTGCAGTCGAGACGCTGAGACAAGGACCACTTGGGGCTCAGGCAGGGCTCCCGTTCTCGGGCCGCTCCCCGCATCCGGGCCGCGGAGCCTCTGCGTGGCCGAGGCCCGCCCTGGCCGGAAGGGAATGCCCGCTGGCAGCGCGCGGGCCGTGTGAGGCGCGAGGTCTCTCTGGAGGCCCCCCCGGGTGCACAGGCCGCCGTGGTCTCGATCGGCCCTCCTCCGAGTCTCGGCGTGCAGCCGAGAGGAGAGATCCGGCGAAGGCGCCGATACACCAGCACCGTCCCCTGGCCCCGCCCTGGGCCGCGAACGTGCCTCGGGCACCGATCTGCGAGCGCCCCTCTTGGACGCGCCCCTCCTGGACGCCCCCGAGGACCACTGGGTCGCGCTGCGCGGACTCTGTCTCACTGGGCCTCCCTCCCCAGACCCCGGACGTCGTGATTTCTCCGCAGCGTCGATCCCCAGAAATCTGGACCTCTTCCCCGGGGCCGTTTTTTGTGTTCTTCTTTCATCCCGAGCCGTTTCTGGACAGTCCCGAGGCCCGGTAAGGGCCCCCGGATGCCGAAAAGAACCGAAAATAACAGAGAACTATTTTTTTCATACTATGTCTTTCTTTGCTTTTCTTAGTAACCAGAAATTGCGAAGAGACAACACAAGTCACAAGTCTTCACGGATAAGATCATAATGGATTAGATATAATTTCACACATCGTTTAGTCCACACACATGTATATATATATATATATATATATATATATATCCGTAAGGGCTTCGCCCCATGCCACCGGCCCCCTCTCTCGGAGAATGGGCCATGGAAGAGCGAAGTCATGAGGCTTTGGCTTCGCCGTGAAGCAGTGTCGGGACCTGTTTGATTTTCGACCCTGACCCCGCCGATCTGCGTGAGGGGTGCCACCGAATTTCCGAAATGTGGCAAATCCCCTGTGTTTTTGGACCCTGACCCTGCCGATCTGCGTGAGGGGTGTCGCCGAATTTCAGAAATGTGGCACATCCTTTGTGTTTTTGCACCCTAACCCCGCCGATCTGCGTGAGGGGTGCCACCGAATTTCCGAAATGTGGCAAATTCCCTGTGTGTTTGGACCCTGACCCCGCCGATCTGCGTGAGGGATGCCGCCGAATTTCCGAAATGTAGCAAATCCTTTGTGTTTTTGGACCCTGACCCCGCCGATCTGCGTGAGGGAATGCCGCCGAATTTTTGAAATGTGGCAATCGGCCCCTAACCCAGCCGATCTGCGTGAGGGGTGCCACCGAATTTTCGAAATGTGGCAAATCCCATGTGTTTTTGGACCCTGACCCTGCCGATCTGCGTGAGGGGTGCCGCCGGATTTCAGAAATGTGGTAAATTCCTTGTGTTTTTGCACCCTGACCCCGACGATCTGCGTGAGGGGTGCCGCCGAATTTCCGAAATGTGGCAAATCCCTTGTGTTTTTGGACCCTGACCTCGCCGATTTGCGTGAGGAGTGTTATTGAATTTTTGAAATTTGGTAAATCGCTTGTGTTTTTGGACCCTGACCCCGCCGATTTGCGTGAGGGGTGTCAATTTTCACCCACCCCAGCAATTCAGACAATACGATTTGGGCGTGGTGACAATTCCCGTTTTGGGCCTCCCCCCCTCGCGCGGTCCATCAACAAGGAACAGTAAGCAGCAAGAAGTCAACAAGGAACAGTAAGCAGCAAGAAGCAGAACTGCAACAGTGGAAACTGGAAGCTGCAAGTGGTACAGGAAACTGCGAACCTCCGGCCTTCAGCCTGGTGGCCCCACACGGGGGCCGGTGGAGGGGCCGGCGGACATACGTGAGCGCGGAAGTGCCCGCAGCTGAGCCAGCCCTGATTCTTGAGCTGATCTGTAAGCCTACACTGGAGTTTGAGCTTACGCCTCTTTCACGACCGCCCCAGATCTCTGTGTGCAGAGTGTATGGCGCCATGGTCGTGGCAAAGTGGGCGTGCAGGCTCTTCCTCCTCGCCTGTGTCGGACGAGTGGGAGCTGCGCGAGGATGTGCGCCAGCTAGAGATCGAGTGTGCTGCAGGGCGCGATGCCAGCTCGCAGCCAACCAAGCCCAACATGGACCAGCTGGAGGCGATCCTCGCGGCGGCGGTCGACGAGCTCAAGTCCTGCTCGGCGATCAACCCCTCGGCGATCGACGAAGCCACGCAGCAGTCCAAGGAGCTGTTCGAGAAGTTCAAGGTGACCCTCGAGCTGGCCCACAGCGTCGAGGCTGCGCAGGCCGAGCCTGCACGGCGCATGGAGGGCAATCAACCTCCACTGGAGGGGACTGCTCACCCTGTGGCCCCCCCCCATCAGGCGCTTGCAAGGCAGGCAGAAACCTCTCACTCACTTCGGATTTGTGCGCAAGACGATTGGCGACAAGCCGAAATGCACCGTCTCGGCCTCGGGGTTTCCTATCAAAAGCAAGGTCGGCGGTGCTGCAGCTTGACGATTGCATCGGCCAATGTGAACACACTTCTTCCATGGCAGGAGAAGTGCTCGTATGCCAAGATTGCGAATGCATGTATGTTGGGCAAAGTACAGTTGCTCGAAGATCAATTTTGTGCAGCTGAGTTAGATGTGATTGCGCTGCAGGGGGGCCGCGCGGATATGTCAGTCAGCAAAGATGGCACGTTGTACACCATGATGTGCGCTGCCGCCTGTGAGGATGGGTCCTGTGGAGTGCAGATTTGGGCGCGACATGGGCTCGCAGTCAAGACGTGGGAGGCGCCCTCTGCGCGTTTCATGTTTGCTGTCCTGTCGAAGAAGGGTATCGACTTCGGTATCGTTTCGGCTCGTGCTCCACACCTCCAGGCTCCCCCAGCTGATCGTGCTGCGTGGAGGGACTTTCTATGCACCCAGGTCTCCGCAGTTCGGAAGGCCTACTCCATCCCATGGTATGTGTGTGCAGATACGAACGGACGTGTTGGATCAGTTTTATCTCCAATCATAGATACGACTGCCCCGAGTTGCGAGAATTCCAATGGCACGCATGTCCGCGAGTTTGCTGAGCAGCAGCAGATGATGATCGCTAATGCGTGGGGCCCTGATGCTGGCCATACCTGAACATCATCGTACGGTGCGCAGGCCCGCATCGATTTCATTTTTTGTGCCGGTTGAGCAGTTTGTTGATGTTGAGTTCTGTCGCCCAGACTATTCCCTCGACTTGGCCATGCATGCATGGGCTGACCACAACGCTGCGGTTATGGCTACCAAGGTTTGGTCAATGCCGTCGGCGACACGCTCGACTCCACCGTTCAGACTCAACGAGCTCCACCTGATGGAGCAGTCTCGCGTGAACGCTTCCCGCGCGTCGACGGAGGCATGCACGTCGATGACCACCTCGAGCTGCTGAACACCTACGTGCGGTGGGCAGGCCGCTTTGTCTTCGGTGACCCGAAGAGGCAGCCGCGCCAGAGGTGGATCAGCGCTCAGGTGTGGGATTTCATCCAGCACGTAGCCCCTCTACGTCGAGCGAGGCGCGCAGCGCTCTTGCAGGGGCGCGCAGCCTTTCAGCGCATGTGCATTGCAGCCTGGCAGTCAGTAGCATGTTTAAATGTCCGTGCGCGGCGTCGAGAGAGGCCTCGACCCTGGTTCTTTTACGGCCGTGCAGTTGACCAAGACACATTGATGCGTAAATATCGTTGGCAGGGAGTCGTA